TTTATTTGCATAAAAGTGGTACTTGCAATTATTTTTGCCATAATTGTTTCACAATTTATATTTTATTTGCATAAATTGGTACTTATGTGGGAAAGCAAACATCACTTTGAAGAAGTTATGAACAGTTGCGGCCGCTGGGAAACTGCCCGAGTTGGCCAGCAGCTGCGGCTGCACAGTGCGGGTTTTGCAAAAAGCCATTAATTAATTAATTTGCATAAATAAATAAATAAATAAATAAATAAATAAATAAATAAATAAATAAATTTAGAAAGCGTTGCATGCGCATTCATGGACTGCTTCAGATTCTGTTGGAGTGCAGCCAAAGTGGCGGACGAGCTTGGGGTCTGAAGAGTTGAGTTTGAGAAAAAAATATTTGCTGCTGCGCTGCAGCAGCAGCAGCAGCAAAACTGTAAATCCGTTTCTTCAAAGAAAGATTCAAAAGACAAATCCAACTGCACTTCTAGCTCGCATGCAAGTACAAACTTTGCTGCTGCTGCGCTGCAGCAGCAAGTACAAACTTTGCTGCTGCTGCGCTGCAGCAGCAGCAAACGCTCTTGCTGCTGTGGCCTCCAGCTTCTTGCACAAAGCAAAAGAGCCCAGGGCTATTATTCAACAGCAAAAGGACTTTGCAAGACAGCGGCCTTGCCAGCCCCTCTAAAGGCACATCTTTGAGAAGCCACTGGTCAATTGTGCACTTATTTTGAATAAATATACTTTTAAAAGGAAAAAAGAGCGTTTTTAGACTCCACGCAGACTTGCATGCAGCCAAACAAGTCCGCAGTGAAGGTCTTCGCTGGGCAGCCAGCGTTAAACTCTGTTTGCTGGCTATTGTCGGACAAATTGGCCTAAAAAATAACTATTAAATAACTATTAAGACCTAGAGAAAGGTAAAAGTTAATAGTAAATGGGAGGTTTTGGCCTTAGCCGTGCAAGGCAAGTCTGCGGACAAAACCTCCAGTAAGGAAAGCATCGAAGTGCCCGGGCGCAGCGACACTGCTGCGATCCCCCGAAGTCTAAATTAGCAAAAAAGCTTTTAATATATTCTATTAAAGTGACAGCTGTGAAAGCCGTAAGACTCTTTTCTACATTGCTGCAGCAGGTTTTGGAAAATGCAGACCGACGGCAGACCGCGCCCCAGCCGCTGAAAAGCCCGCGTTCATCCGCGGCAAAAATGCCTCACTCATTTAATTAAAATGACTTTCAAGAACTGCAGAAGTTTCACAAACATTCTTTCGTTTTGAGGTGTATGCACAAACACCCCCGGTGGACTGGCAAGCTGGCTGAGGCGGAGGCGGGCATGCATTCGAACTGGGCGGATCCGGCGGCGATACATTGCTGATTTGCGTCTCGGAGAAAAACACATTTCACTTTTGTTTTTTATTCCTTTTGAGGCTCTTCGTCTGCTCAGTCCGCGTCGAAGATGCAGATCACCGTCACTGACGCCGGTAGGTTTCGTGTGTGCACTGCGGCGCAGGAAACCGCGGAAACACCGCCCGCCTCCGCCACTTTTGCCTTTTTTGGGACCGTTGTGGCCTCCGAAATGCAAATAATTAATTAATTTGGACTTTAGAAGCCCGCAAGTGGGCGCTTTCCGCGCCTTTCCGCGGCGCTCCCTGCCTCGCCGCTCGCCACTCCGCAGCGCAACTTGAATTCTGCACTCTCTGCGCCCCTCTCTTGTGTTTGCTGGGACTTTTCGCTGCAGACGGCCAAGTTTTCGCCCTGGATCTCACTGGGGAGGCGGAAGTCTCTGCGTTGAAAGACATAATTTCGGTGGAGTTGAACATCCCCCCAGAACACCAGCGGATTCTGCTGGACGGCCGGCCGCTGCCGTGGGTCTTTGCGCCACTTTGGCTCGCATTTAAATGACTTTTTGCGCCATGCTGTAGTTGCTGCGACTTCAACAGCAGCAGCTGCTGTGGCTGCTGCAGCTGCTACAGTTGCTGCTGCTGCAGCGGCTACTGCTGCAGCTGCTACAGTTGCTGCTGCTGCAGCTGCTACTGCTGCAGCTGTTGCGGTAGCTGTTGCCGCAGCTGCTGCGTCTTTGCTTTTGCCGCCTTTGCCTGCAGGGGCTCTGCGCGCACGCTGGCCGACGCTGGCGTGGCCGAGGGAGCCATGCTCCTTGTCTTCAACGACAGCCCAGCAGCAGCAGCAGCAGCAGCAGCAGCAGCAGCAACCGGCGCCGCTGCAGCTGCTGCTGCGCCTGCTGCTCATGCGCAGCGCCTGCAGCAGCAGCAGCAGCAGCAGCTGGCGCCACCGCAGCGACAGCAGCAGCGAGGCGTCCTGCCCCTGGACTTCTCCAGTAAGCAGCAAAAGGGACTTAGACTATTTTCGAGTGCATGCAAGCAGAGCATTTTGGCAGCAGCAGCAGCAGCAGCAGCAGCAGCAACTTTCCTTTTTTTCATTTTTAAAATTAAAATAAAATATATTTGCTGCTTTGCATGCAGGCATAGTTGTGGACGGCGGCCGCGTTGCCCAGTTCCCAGCGGGGGGGGGCCCGGGGCCCCCCCGCAGCCCTGCTGCGCGTTTAGCTGCCCCGGATGTTGCTGCTCACCTGAAGCTGCTGGTGAGGCGGCGGGCCGAAGAAGCAGTTGCTGCTGCTGTTGCTGATGCTGCTTCTTTGGCTCTAATAAGGGCCCACAATCCTGTTTTAGGAGAAGCCATAAAGGCAGCAGTTGACGAGAGGCAGCAGCAGCAGCAGCAGCAGCAGCAGCAGCAGCAGCAGCAGCAAACGCAGGCGCAGCAGCAGGAAGAGCCAGGCCCAGCGTTCTCGCGGCTCATGGAGACCCTAGAAAAGGAGTTCACAAACCAAATCAAAGTGAGCTCCTGCTGCTGCTGCTGCAGTTGCTGTTGCTGCTGCCGCTGCTGCTTCCGGTGCAGCTAGGGTTGCTGCGGCTGCTGCTGTTGCTGCTGCTGCCGCTGCTGCTGCTGGTGCTGCCGCTGCTGGTGTTGCTGCTGGTGTTGCTGCTGCTGCTGGTGTTGCTGCTGCTGGTGTTGCTGCTGCTGCAGCAGCAGCAGCAGCAGCAGCAGGGAGCGGAGCACTTGCGGGCAGGCGGAAGACGAGCGGTGGCGGCGGCTGGCGGCGATCCAGCGGGACCCGCTGTCTGCTGAGGCTCAAAGAATGCTTTTGGAAGATCTGCAGCAAGAAAGAATAAATGAAAACTATTCAATGGCGCGGGAACACTTGCCGGAGGGTTTCGGGTCGGTGTGCATGCTGTACGTACACCTGGAGATCAACGGCGTGCGCTGCACCGCTTTCGTCGACAGCGGAGCCCAACAGTCCATTTTATCTCTCGCTTTTGCGGAAAAATGCTTTTTATCATCTTTAATTGACAAAAGATTCGCAGGACTGGCTCTGGGAGTGGGCAGGGCCCCCATTCTTGGCCGCGTTCATCTTGCGCCTCTCAAACTCGGCAGCAAGTTCTGCCCCTGCAGCTTCATTGTCCTCGAAGACTCCAAAATGCAAATGCTGCTCGGCTTGGACATGCTCAGGAGGTACCAAATGGTCATTGACTTGAAGCGCAACGTCCTCGTCGTCGAGGGTTTGCCAAACCCTAAACCCTAAACCCTAAACCCTAAACCCTAAACCCTCCGCCCACCCCCCTCGCTGCCCGCGCCTGCAAGCCCTAAACCCTAAACAAGAAGCTGCAGCCTTGAAACCCTAAACCCTAAACCCTCGCACGAAGCTCCCAAGCCTTTAAACCCTAAACCCTCAAACGCGGCTCCTCAGCCTGTAAACCCTAAACCCTACACCCCAAATCGCAGCTCGAGGGAAAGTGCAAACTCACAAACCCTAGACAGCAAACCCTAAACCCTAAACCCCCGGCTTTCGAAAACCTGCAGCGAGCTGTGCCTTTTTGCTGCTGCATTTTAGCTGCGAATACACTCGAGGCATCTGCGCAGCTCTGCAGCAGCAGCAGCAGCAGCAGCAGCAGCAGCTCTGAGAATCCCAGCTTCTTCAGCTCGCGGCTAGCTAGCCAGTGAGCCGGTGGCTAGCTAGCTAGCTAGCTAGCTAGCTGGGGCCTTGCTGCTGCTGCGCTTTGCTTCTTGCTGCAGGAGAAGAAATTCCTTTTCTTTCCGAAGCTCAAATTGATAAAGGACTCTTCGGAACTATCGAAAGCCACGAAGAAGTGGAGGCAGCAGCAGCAAAAACAGAAACAGAAAACGGGACAAAGTAGCAGCTGCAGCAGCAGCTGCAGCAGCAGCTGCAGCAGCAGCTGCAGCAGCAGCTGCAGCAGCAGCTGCAGCAGCAGCTGCAGCAGCAGCTACAGTGGCAGCTGCAGCAGCAGCTGCAGCAGCAGCTGCAGCAGCAGCTGCAGCAGCAGCTGCAGCAGCAGCTACAGTGGCAGCTGCAGCAGCAGCTACAGTGGCAGCTGCAGTTAGAGCAGCAGCTGCGGCAGCAGCTACAGTGGCAGCTGCAGCTACAGCAGCAGCTGCAGCAGCAGCAAGAGAGCCGCAGCTGCAGCAGCAGCTGCTCTTGCTGCAGCGCGGCGCTGCACTGCGAGGGAGGAAAGGGATGTCTGTGGCGTGGGGTGCTTATCTGATGTCAGCAGCAGCAGCAGTTGCTGCATCTGCTGCTGCTGCTGCTGCTGCTGCTGCTGCTGCTTTGTTGGTTTGCTCGTACGCATCGCTTCCCGCGGCCCGCAACTGCAGCTTTTGCTGCTGCTCTCTTGTGTTGCTTTGGGGCCTTTTGTTGCTGCACTTTTGTCTTTATTTGCTTTTTTTCTTTCTTCCGGTGTGAATTCAACCCTTGTTTTGCCTTGCACATGCTGCTGCTGCTGCTGCTGCTGCTGCTGCTGCTGCTGCTGCTGCTGCACTGGAGGCGGCTCAGCTGAGGCGTTCTCGACGCCACCCAGCAGCAGCAGCAGCAGCAGCAGCAGCAGCAGCAAGGGGCAGCTGGCTTGTGTTTGGGCTGCGCCGCATTAGCCTTTTTGATTTGTTTCGCGGCGCTGTATGGACAAAAGCACTCATCAAATCTACATGTTGATGGGCTGATGAAAGTCTTTGGAAATATTATTAAAAGTCCATAATAATGCTTTAATAATATTCCATTATAATGTCTTTTTAACTTTATAATCAAATAATGCTTTAATAATATTCCATTATAATATCTTTTTAACTTTATAATCAAAGTTGAGAGCTCTTCAGGAGCTGCGCAATTGAAAGCACTCATTCAAGTTCTTGAACTTCAGAAAACCGGAAAGAAGTGGAAAGCCACTGCTGCATTGTTCGAGTGAATTCATTTTGCATTTGAAATTAAATTGAATTAATTGCAGTTCATTATTTTTGTCTTTTTGTTTCCGTTCAGTTCTGCTTTCCCCGCTGTCTCGGGCTCGGCGGGGAGCAGCCACAGCGAAGTATTCTTAACTCTCTTTTGCAATTATTTGTATTTTTCTCCATTTCTTTGTTTCTTTTACTTTACTTCTTTGCAATATACATTTTTCCTCATTTCTTTGCCTTTTTTCGCTCCTATTTTTGGCCCTTCACTGCTAGTTTCGAAACTTAGCGGCAAACTTGAACTGAGCCAGCAAGTTGAATCCCACATGCTGCACAAACCGAAGAACACTTAAAAAAGAACGCAAAAACGCAATTTTCTGTTTAAAAATAAAAGAAAGATGAAAAGTGAACCTGCAAATAAGACAGTTCGCAAAAGAAAATGTCAAATTCAAACTAAAAGGACGAATTGGAACGAAACAACAGCACTTCCTTCTAAGTTCAACTCTGGAGTGGCAGTGCCCGCGAGCCCTCATCTTCCTTCTTTTCTTTTCCAAAAGGCAAAATAATAATTGCAATAAAACCCGTCCACTTATTTTTAGTTATATGCGGCTGCATGCAGCCATTTTGCAGTAAGAAATGCCCAGGGTGGTTAAGAAATGCATCTATTTTCAAATACTCAAGTGCAAGTGGCCTCGCGAGAATTGCAAATGTGCAAAACTCTTCTGCAGTTCCTCAGCCTCCATCTCCTCTCAAACTTTCCACTTGATAATATTTTCATAATATTTTCACTTCGTGAACTTTCTACCCATCCCAGACTAGTCGAGAGTGCTGAACCAAACAGTATGAGAAGTCCAATGCGTGCAGGTCATGCTGGAGATATTAATTGCAATATTTCGAACAAATATTAATTACAGGACTTCAAACAAACATTAATGGAAATCCATTTTATGCATTGAAGAAGATGCCTTGGTCCAAAGCTCGGCCAAATGCACGAGACATAGAAATGCAACAGCCCAGAAAGTCTTCACCACCACCGACGGACACGAAGAGTGGCTGTGAGAGCCGCCTATGACGAAAAAGGTGCAAAATGGAAAACCCTGAGAGCCACAGGAATATAAATTGATGCAAAAAGTGCAGATTATTCTCGTTTTGAGCTTGTCTAAGGCAAACAGCTGCTGCGCTCTGAGCCGCAAGAAGCTCGCGCGCGGGTTTGCACAGTGTAAACGCTGCACTTGGTTCATCAGTTGCATGCATTTACAAGGATATACATTGGAATAATACAATTATTATATTCTGCGCGTTATTTCCTGTTTTCGCCGCATTAAGTCCCCAGCAGCTGTTGCACGTAACCATTCCAGGAGCATTGGCAGGCCGGCGGCAGCGCAAGGAGCAAATGTGCGGACGCAAGAGTCCCTCCAGTTGACCAGTGGACCACTGGAAATTGAACAAATATTGTTTCTTCAATTGATAACGAATTAAAGTTCAGAAATGTGTGTCAAAAACTGTCTCGCTGGGAGCAGGCCTGGCACGGTCTTCTGCCCTGGCGTAGCCCAGCCCAGCGTCTCACGGCTCCGGTTCACCTGCTGCTTCTGGCGGCTTTTTCGGGCATTTTCCCCCAAATAAGCTCCTGTCTTAGGCTTAAAAATTAAATTTTGTCTCGACTGAGTGGTTTATTTCTCCTTTTTTGCACTACTTTCTCCCAAAGCGTGAGACGCCAGGCATCCTCATGGTGAGAGCCACTGGGGCTCAGGCACCCACCCACCCCGCTGCAAAGCAACCGCTGGTTGCCCTCCCCTGTCTGTCTCTGTCCCATTCTCATGCTTCAAATGCTGTTTCATTTCTGCCCGAGTTTTGATTTGTTGTTTTCAAGTTAAATTGCCTTCTAGGTCACGGTAATGAGGAGCCTCAAGCTGCTCTTTTTGGCCGGCTCGGCCGTCTTCTTTCGAGACACGCAGGGGGCGCAGGCGTCCTCAGGTCCCACTGCGCCGCCCGGTAGGCGTTGTTTCTTTCTTTTTGGAACTTAAATTGTTTTTAAATTCGAGTTTGAAAAAGTTTAAAAGGACAAAGGGTTGTTTGCCGCGTGTTGTGTGTGCTGGGTGGGCAGGCGCTGCAGGAGCAGCAAGTATCGATTGCACAACTGCCATGAACAGCATCCGTTCTGATGTTGGCCTGGCCCCGCTGCAGTTGGGAACTACAGAGCAAGCTAAATTGCCTCTAAAAGCTGGCGACAGCCCCAATGTGGCCTTCACTGGTTCCGTCTGCACCGCCGCTAGAGCCGTAAGGAAAGCACGGCGCGTGGTGGCCAGTAGTGGCCAGTTTTGGGGCTCAGAAGTGGCCACAGATGGACCAAACGACGGTTTAATTTGAAGACACAAAGGCGGGAGAATTTTGAAGGGTCAATGGGGCTCAGAGGCGCAGAAAAGAGCAGCTTTCCCCGCGCCATGCTTCTGTTTCTTGTGTGTGGACTTGCCGTGCTTGCCTGTGGGGGTGTGCATGCGCTCGTGCATGCGCTGTTTTGCTCTTTTGGGGCTTTCAGGGAACGATGCCTCCCACAACTTCGACCTCACTGGACGGGAACTTCGCCATTTCGATCCAGAAGGGGGCCAATGGCGACTGTGCAACTGCAGTGAAGCACTGGAGAGAAGGAGTCAATCTGTTCAAGGGTTTGCCTCCGCCGTATGCGGCGGATTCTGCGGTGTACAAGACCACCCAGGCCCAGTCCTTTGTGGCCCTCTTCACCCCCCAGCAGGAAAGCAAGGTGGACTGCGCATACTTCGTTTGCCCGGAAACCACTGACAGCGGCAGCAAGCAGGAGGAAATCAAAGCTCTTCTCTGCATCACTTCGCCCAAGTCGCTGAAGGAAGGCACGGCTCCTTTCGAGTAAGGCTTCGAGAGGGCAGGGTTTAGGGTTTAGGGTTTGGGGTTCTGCGCAGTTGCAGTAAGCAGCTAGGCGAGCGAGAAAGGAGGTCCGGATCCAACGATTTGGGGATTTGCACTTATTATTGGGGTTATTAGAGTTGTTGGAATTATTATTTTGTCGAAATTATTGGGGATTTAAAGGGTTTTGTGGCGTTTGGGTTCACAGGCAAAAGCAATGGGACAAGATCACAGCGGGCCTCGTGGGTGGCGCCTCTGCAGCGGTGCCGACCTTCCTTGTTTTTGCCGTCACGGCTGTTGGAGTTGCGCTGTTTTGAGCGTTTTCTTCGTGCATGCAATTGCAAAAAGGACAAAAAGGACGAACTGAGGACAAGTTGCACCAATTGCACCCGTGTACAGAGTAGATCCACGAAGATGCATGCACGCGTGTGTCTGTAGGCGCTGCAACGCGCCGAGCCGCCCGGAGGAAGCCCAGGGCCACGCAGGGGAAGTTTGGGGCAGTTTAAAGGGAAAGCTGCAGAAAAAAGGAAGCATTTTGTTGGGGTTGGCTGCGGCGGCCGTTTAAACACGTTAAGAACAGAACAGCTTGTTTCCGAACTCGCCGTGGGCTTCCGAGGCACGCAATTCTCGAGGGAAACGAAGCAGTAGAAGAATTCAAAAGCTGTAGTTAGTTAATAGGCTGCCACTTCTTCCACTTTCCACTTTAGTTGTAGTGTTTAGAGGAGATCTGGAAAAGCAGTAATGGGGAGGGTGAAGAGGGAAAGTGGGGAAAAGTGGAACATGAGAGTTACGTAGGAAAGTGGAACTGACCAGCAAACTGGCCAAAAGATTATAAGGAGATTTTTGTAGCAGAGGAGGCTTGGTAGGGGGTAGTTCAATTTGGAGGAGATGGTGTTGAAGGTGGGGGTATTTGTTGAGGTTGAAGGTGCAAGTTTGTTGGGGGATAAGGCTGGAGTCTTTGAGTGAGAGCTGAAGCGAAATTAAGAGGATAAATAAGTATGTGTGTTATGTGAAGTAATTGGGTGGGGAATGTGCGGCAGCAGTATTAGTAGCAGCAGCAGAAGCTTTGGATCTGGATGTACGTGCTGCTGCTTAATTTGCTGCTTTTCTTCTTAATGCAATCGAAAACGTGGTCTATAAACGCAGAGAAAGGGAATATTTAGATGGATTTCCACAAATGCCTTTTTTTTGAAATGCAAATGAGTAACGGGTGCAAGAGAAAGGGTGCACAGGAAGAGAGCAGCAGAACAGCAGCTGCTGCAGCAGCTGAAATTGTAGCTCATGGGGAAGCTGCAGCTGCTTCCATTGTATTAACTGCTTCTGGAGCAGCAATTGCTGTTGTTGACTGCTGCTGCAGCAGCTGCTGCTGCTGCCGCAGCTGAAATTGTAGCTTATAATGAAGCTGCTGCAGCTGCCTCCATTGTATTAACTGCTTCTGGAGCAGCAAGTGCTGTTGCAGACTGCTGCTGCAGCAGCTGCTGCTGCAGCCGCTGACGCAGCAATAGGCAGAGCCGCGAGCTCTCCCGGGCCAAAAGAACAATCTGCTTTTGAAATGGCTTTTGAATATATTGCATGAACAATTTTAATTCCCGAAAACGCATCTCTGCTCATGGAACATTGAACTTGAACTGGAAAGTGAGGACGCAAGACACGTCCCACCCTGGCATTTTAAGCCTTAAGAGGGAATGCTGCAACCGATGCAACTATTCCATGTTGCATTAAGAATTAAATAAAGATATTAAAGTAAGATTTCGAAAAGTTATTGCTCTTGAAACTTCTCTTGTTGCTTGGGAAGCGCAGGCGTGCTGCTGCACCAGTGGACCGGTGCACTCGCAGCCCGTGTTTGCAGATAGCGAGCAAAGCAACTTGCAAGAAACAAACTGCATGTAATTATTAAAATCAATTTCTAATTTGTTCTAATACTGTCGTGTCTATAAAATGGCCATGCCGTGCAAAACATGCATTGTGCAGTGCCAGTGAGCCCAGCAAAAGCTCAAGGTCACCTGCGCACTACAAAGGGCACGCGTAAATTCCTTAACTTGGGCTCCTCACGGCCACTTGAATGAACGAAACTTGATTGAATTAAATAGTTAAATTTCTTTTAGAACAAGATTAAGTTTCTTTTGGGTGCTTAGCAGCAACTGTGCGAGCGGATGACACCCCACACAGAGCCCAGCAGCAGCCGCCACGACTGCAGCGCCGTTTGTGAATAGTGAGGCGCAGAAGTATTTGGCAGCAAACCTTCGCTGTGATCCATTAGGATTAGCCAGGATATCTACTTGATTTTCTTGTTGACAGAAGCTGAGTCAGTGTCTCGGAATAGACGCACTGCAGCAACAGCAGCAGCAGCAGCAGCAGCAGCATTCCACTTGCACGCGTAGAGAAATTGGCCCTGCCTCTGCCTGCGGCAGTCACTTCACCTTGTCGAGCTCTTACTTATGTCTTTTATATGTTGCCCTTGAGGCTGTCCAACTGTTTCACCCTGACATTCCCTCCTAGCTTCCGTGCAGAGCGGCAGCAGCAGGCACTGCGGACTTCCGCGCTGCTGGCTTTCCTCTCTGCCCCCTTCAGGCTTCTTTTTTTCCTTTGTTACAGCCTTTCTAAAATCCCAGCATGGTGAGCTGAGCCCTCAGAACGCGGCATTTCCTTAGCTGCTGGGCGGTCCGCAGCGGTAGCAGCAGCAGCAGTTGCAGCAGCAGCAGCAGAAGCTGCTGCAGCTGCTCCTGCAGTTGCTGCAGCTGCTGGGGCCTCTCCCCAACACCGCCAGCTGGGCTTGCAAAGCCTCTGCCTGTCCTTGCAGTGGCTGCTGCTGTTTGCTGCTGCTGCTGCGCTGCAGCTGCCATTCCCTCTGGGTTACCTGCAGCAGCAGCAGCCATGCGCCCCGGAGCCCGTGGACTGGGAGGCGGCTGCGAAGCAGTACTCAGCCTACAGGGCCCCATCCCAGCAGCAGCAGCAGCAGCAGCAGCAGCAGCAGCAGCAGCCGGTGGAGGACTACGGGGGGAAAAGGAAGGGAGCGAAGAAGGGATCGAAAGAGATGCCCGATGATGCAGCCGAGGCGGATGACGTAGTGCCTCCAGGTTTGCTGCTTTCTTTTGTTTTGCTGCTCAAGGTTTCTATCTTTCTCATTTATTTATTTAATATCTTCTTCTTTGCTTCCCTTTTTTCTTTTTCATTGCAAATTTGCCACTGTGCAGCAGCTGCATACCCTGTGGAGTTGTGGGAATTTGCCAAGAGCTGAAAACTTGAACTTCCAGTTCGGGATCTAGGGTTTAGGGTTTAGCGTTTAGGGTTTAGGGTTTGTGTTGGCTGCAGATGCACCCTTCCCAGAAGAAGCCACAGATGACTTGGGCTATTTGCTGAGACAGGCAGATCAAAACCCTTATTCGTATGAGGCTTTACAAGCTCTAGTGTGTGCTTTGTCCAGCGCTGTGAGCCACCCACAAACCCTAAACCCTAAACCCTAAACCCTAAACCCTTCGCTCGTAAGCTATCCTGCCACCAACGTGCTCCCTTCTGCCTCTTGGTCCCTCTCTCGCTGCTGCTGTTGCTGCTGCTGCTGCTGCTGCTGCTGCTGTCCACGGATTTGAGGGGCTTTCTGCCTTCACTTGCAGTCTTTTACTTTTTGAATTTTTGAATTTTGTTCGTCTTGCTGCCTTTGCTGCCCCGCTGCGGGCTGTACGTACACCCCAGGGCCCCGACAAACTCGAAGATTACGAACAAGCTCTTGAAAGATTTCTTTTTGAATTTCCTCTTCTCTTTGGCTACTGGAAGAAACTCGCAAGGCTGCAGTGTGACCCGAAGGGGGACTGGAACAAGTGCGAGGAGGTCCGCAGGCGCTGCTGCTGCTGCTGCTGATACCTCTGCTGCTGCTGCTGCTGCTGGTGCTGCTGCTGATACCTCTGCTGCTGGTGCTGCTGGTGCTGCTGGTGCTGCTGGTGCTGCTGGTGCTGCTGCCTCTGGTGCTGCTGGTGCTGCTGGTGCTGGTGCTGCTGGTGCTGCTGGTGCTTTTGCTGCTGGTGCTTTTGCTGCTGGTGCTGCTGGTGCTGGTGCTGCTGGTGCTGCTGGTGCTGCTGCTGCTGGTGCTGCAGCAATAAGGGATACGGCTACAGTTGAGGCTCTGCTCTGCTTTCGGACTGCCACAGCTGCTGCTGCTGCCCTGCCACAGAGGCTGTTGCTTCTGCTGCTGCAGCCGCTTTGATTGCTGCGTTGTGCTGTAGCAACTCCCGCTGGTGCTGCCTCTTCTGCTGCCACTGCCGCTGCTGCCCTTCTGCTGCTGCTGCTGCTGCTGCTGCTGCTGCTGCTGCTGCTGCACCTCGAGTTGCAGTTTGCGATTCAATGGTTTAGGTTTTTGAACGCTCGCTGGAATTCGTTGGACATAATCCCCTCATTTGGGCAGCTTACTTCGAATGGATGAAAGACTTCGCCTGCTTGCCTCCGCACTTGGTCCGCGCCAGAATGGACCAAGCCATACAGCACGTAAACCCTAAACCCTAAACCCTAAACCCTAAACCCTAAACCCTAAAGCCTAAGCCCTAAACACTGAATCCTAAGCCCTTAACCCTAAACGTAGATCTAACTTTTAGGACCTTTCACTTCTAAACTGTGGGTCACGGGGCACAAGCCACAGACTGTAAAAGTGCGCTACTGTCGGGTCTGTAGTTGCTGCTACTCATGCTGCTGCTGCTGCTGCTGCTGCTGCGGCTGCTGTTGCTGCTGCTGCACATCATGAGTAGCCAGAGGAGTAAAAGAACCTGACCTTCCCGAGGGGGAAGGTCAGGTTCTCTGCAGTATGGAACAGCAGAGGCCCCACTGCGCAGCTCCCCACTTAGCTACAGTTGCTGCTGCTGCACCTGCTGCTGCTGCTGCTGCTGCTGCTGCTGCGTGCGCAGGCTGGCGCTCACTGGAAGGCCTGGCCCTTGTGGCAGTGCATATTGGACTGGGAAGAAGAGGAGCTGTTTGCTGCTAGGGAAAAGATTACTGCAGCAGAAGTGGCGGCTCCTGTCGAAGAGGATCTGGGGTGTACAGACACTGCAGAAGGGGAAACCCCACCCAAAGAGGGCCTCAATAGTCTTCTTGAAACAAACCGGCAGCGCATGCAAACAGCTCTGCAAAGGGTAAGACACAGACACCCCTTGCTGCTGCTGCTGCTGCTGCTGCTGCTGCTGCTGAAAGGGCCGGAGTGGGGCCCTTTTGGGGGCTTTGCCGTTGCTGCCAGACAACCATTAACATCTGTCGCTGCTGCTGCTGCTGCTGCTGCCGCGCTGCTGCCGCGCTGCTGCCGCTGCTGCTGCTGCTGCTGCTGCTGCTGCTGCTCAGC